GATAAAACAAGATCAAGATATACTTTGTTGCTATGGAGAACTTTGTTTTGCACTCTGCAGCTACCCGATAAATAAATTAAGCGAATGACAACACAGGCAAATAAAATACTTAAACCATTAGGACATTACACTACATTCAAGGGATGAACTTCAACATTTTACTGACTGGATCCTGGGATTTAACATCTGGTAGATATATTGGAAGTTCATTTGTCACTGTAGATAAATACATGTATTTAGATATGCTGATACCCTTGACTTATTAAAGATAAAGCATTATTACTACAGACTTCTGTTTGGCTCATTATGAAGCTAATCGCCAAGGCGTTGGCTCATCTGATCTGAGTCTGACTCAAGTCACCTGTCGTCCCTTTGTGAGCAGACCATTAGCATCAGAGCGAGCGACAATTAGCCTCCCCCTCCCCACCCGTCTGCGCTCGTCCTCGCAGCACAGCAGCAGTTCCTGACAGTCTTTCATGGCTATTAAAAGGGAACAACGGGCCAGGCTACTATCTGACTGAGGGCAGACGGCAGGATGGGGTTATCTGAATATCAGCTTCCATATCAAAGTGCAAACATAAACAGTTCTTAGAAGTCTTCGTGGTAATTTCAGAAAGCCTGCATGCCAGGCACAGTTGTGTGTTGAAACACCTCACTGCAGTGCTGACTTTTTCTCTGTTTGCGTTAAGGCTGCATTTAAGTGAAAGAATGTTTACATGATCACTTATTTTTCAGATATTCAGTTAATCTTTAAAATGTCAGAAGATACTGAAAAAAATATCTGAAATATTATCAATGTGATTATCATGAAATAGTTGGAATACTTCGATATATTTTCGCCCAGGTAACATTTCAAGCAACACATTATGCGGTTTTAGCTTTTCATTTACAAAGGTCTGGTTATACTGCCTTACAGACACGCACAGTAACAGCTGCACACAACATGGATATGTAGTAGTATAATAAGAACTATGTTTTTCCCCCCACTTTAAACACTCTCACTCGTGCAATCGATTGATATCTACGTATTCCACACATATACAGGTAGTGCCCTTCAAAAAATCGACTGGTTTCACAGAGCCTCCCTTTGATGATGAAATTTAGATAGCGGACCAGGATGTACTCGCAGATGCAGCGAGCACCACTAGCTTAAGGATTTACACTTAATATATTTATATTTATATTTACATTTATCAATAACAGATTAATAACCAAATATTCTGCAGGAGTGGGGTGTTGGCTTGGGGTTTAAGAAATTTTGAAGGTGAATCACAACCCTAATCCCCATTACAATTTCCCAGAGTCGAAAGGGATCTTTCAGCACTTGTTTTATCTGACCAACTGTCAGAGAGAGAGAGAGAGCACCGAAAAGCAGTACGTTAGAGATGATACCCTCGCAAATATTTGGGATTTATGTTCGACAAATGATGCAACAGTTACCAAAAAAGCTGCGCATTAATATTCTCTCAAAAAATTCTGTATTCATTTTGATTACTGTCTGTATTTCTGTGTTATGGCTCTTACAAATCACTGTAGTAAACTTGGTTAATTTAATTGCAAAAGCGATAACGTTGTCAAGAGGGAAACCAATACTTTATTGACCCGAGATCTACTTTCTCCGCTCCTGATTAGAAAAACCTAGTGAGCCGAGGGGGAATGGGTCAGAGGGTTTCTAAATTTAGCTAATTAAAAAACCAAACACAGAGATTACCCATGGATTTCCATTAAAACCAGTGAGAACTTAATTATGACCACATGACCCAATGCATCTCAAATATGCTAAGCTTTGCTGGCTGGAATAACGTTGGTTTGAATGAATGTGTGTGTGTGTCTGCTTCCAAATAAAGACCAGACAAGTGTTCAGACAGCTTCTGCAAATCCTGCCAAGTGTGACGGGAAAAAAGGGCAATATTTGTCCCTCACCTGTTTTCAGACATTAATACTACAAATGACGTGCCAGATATGCGGTCTGAGTTATTACTGTATAACTCGCACAGGTTCTCAGCCAACTGGCTCGAGGTTGGAGGGGGTCTTTAGTATCAACACACACTTCCAGATTCAGACAGAGATAAAGAATCAGGGAGTGGAAGCGGCCAAACTTGTAAGCAGCAGCAGCATTTGTCTTGTGGGGCAACTGCATGTGAGAGGGCCGAGCTGCATGCTGGTGCCACCGTTCTTGTGTTAATGCAGCAGAGAAAAGAGGAAGAGTTTGTATTCATGGCTATCTATAGACAGGAGTGGTGCCTGTGACATGGCAGCTGCTCCCCAGAGAGTGGTGACACATTAACCTTCAGCCAGCTGTCTTGGCCGGCTGCTTTAACATGAGCTCACACATACACACACACAACAGAGTCAAGGAGATCACCCAACTGTATCAGTAGAAGACGCATACAACGAAATAAGTTCTCCCAAAATGTTGATGAAGTTTGATTTGAATGATATTTGGATGTGTTTTTCATGGAAGCATGTGCATGCTCACATACACACACCCCCATTCACATACTGGACCATCATTTGATCTGCACTGGGACTCGAGGGATCAGCACCGCGTGGCTACAGCTGTTTCACAGCGGGTCAGGTTACCCTGCCACCACCATCCCCAAGGCCTTCACCAAGGGAACGACCCCACGTCAAACCAACACTCACACAGGCATACTGTCCTCCAACAGCTCCTCGCCCTCCTACAGGTACCGAGCCCAAAAGCAGGCACTGTGAGCCCAAAACATACTTTCGAGAGGTCTTCAGCGATGCATGTCTGGCAAGGAAGCTCAGCAGCTTGTGGTTGTCAAACTAAAACCTGCTCACAGGAAACAAGAGAAAGTGCTGTGACAGCTCCTCCACCCAGCCACCGAGAAAAGAATAAAAACTTTACATAGTAACATATAGACAGGGGTTCATTACTTTTTTTGTAACTGGGTCAAGATTGCTTTATTTCACCGTAGTATCTAAAACTCGGTCAGAACTGAACAGCTGCTGGGACATGCAGTCATTGTTTTGATTTAAATTGGACTATTTTCCTAATTAAGACTTCTAGAGAAGTTTGGTTTCTTTTGACTGATAAAGTTCTACAAAAATACTGGCAGACCTCAGTGAAAGATACAGGCATTAATTTGCTATTGAAACTCAGACATTACATTGTACTAATACCTAACAATATTAACTGCTACTAACAAGCTTTAATTTTCTAAGTCTATATTAATAATTGTTTACTTTCAGAAGGATATAATCATAATTATATCTTGTTATGCGAATGTAAAACAAATATAAAACTAAAAAGATGTGTTGATAAACAAAGATATTATTTGACATGATTTGTAGTGATCATTCAAGTACCGCTTACAAGCAAAGGTTGCAAACATTCATTCCAAACTTTTAATGTTTCTCAGCATTTTCAGCCATTTTATAGACTTGTGCAAATAAACTCATAATGAAAATAATCAACAGTGGCCGCCTTTATCATCTTTACCATGGCAGATATTTTTGTTGCCCACAGTTAAGTTTCAAAGCAGGTTTTTGTAATTGAAAACTAAAAAAAGTAGTAAATCTGAAGTGAATTTGTTTAACCCATATCAAGAGTTTAGTCTCATGCCAAGCTTAAACATTATTCATTTATGTGGACATCCGTTTGATTGGTTAATGTGATGTGGCAAACGTTTACCACATTGCGACACTCAATTACCAGTCTATGAGATCCACCCAACCAAAGCTGCTGCAGTCTAATTCAACAGTAATGCAATGAACTGCACCGTCATGAAGACTGTAATCACTTGAGTTCAGTCCAGTTTTAAGTGTAAAGGTGCTGATTCTGAACTTTGAGGTCACTTTGAAGGTTGTAGTTTCTAGTGCTGAACTGTACTGCACCACACTGAGGGACATATCTAATATATTTTTCATTTAGTTCACATTAATCAGGGTAAAGTAAACATCAGAAAGGATTCTCAGTATAAGGTAAACACAGCTCGACATAACTGTAAAGAACAGTCTCCAAACTGATCATAAGTTAAACTAACACCCATCTAAAACAGTCTGAATAAAAACAGAACATTTTAATCGTTGTGAAATGAACATTCATTGCAGGACTGTTGCCTTAATTTTTTAGAAACTTGTCATTTCATCTAATCTGAGTAATAGGAAAAGTTATTTCAAGAACCTAACCGATGTATTGTTTGTTGAATGATATTTCCAACTAATGATGACTGGTATCTGCCTATATGTCGTCCGACGAGCGCTGATATGAAAACATTTTTTTGTACTGATTCAGAAACTGTGTCATCACCGCCGACTGCATTCTTTACAACATTCTCAGCATCGTCTGCAGCACATGTAGCGCAGGCGGTTGTGCGGAGTCAAGTGGTGTGTCCACTGTAAACTGCAAGTTTGTGAAACATGCTGCTTGAAAGTTAAAAACCTCATCACTTTCCTTTAATTTTACTCTAATATACGTATGAAGAGTTAATTTGCAAAAACAGATAACTCCATCTTCGCAAACCTTCAGAAAACTCTCTTTTCCATCATCTACCTGAGACAATATCAATCAAACTTAAGTTATCTCTGTTTTGGTGATGTCATTTCTACTGAGTCAAATCCACTCAACTTCAGTTTGATTGATATTATCTCAAGAAAACAACAAAAAAGTTTTCTGAAAAGCTACAAGAATGGAGTGATCTGTTTTTGCAAACCAACTCTTCATATGTATATGTAAAGGTAATCAACAGATACAATGTGGAATGTTTCCCTCTTTTAAAAACAGGTTTTGGTCCTAAAAATCCAGTACATCTGCTCTACTTTTTGTTCCCAGCTCTTACCCAGTTGACCCGAGATAACGTTGTTAACATAAGAACAATAACCATGAAACCACACAGGCTCCATCAAAACCAATGTGGCTCATCAGGCTCCAGAACAATGATGGCTTCCTTCAGGACATCCTGCTAAATGCACACCAACACTACAGATTGACTCTGTGGAAGACACGAGTACAGGAATTCCCTGAAAGCTGCATCATGCGGTGAGACCCCTGGAAGCCGCGGGGGTCTTTTCTCCGACTGCTTCCCCGGGCCTCACACGAGCAGCTGACGGGGCTTAGAGTGAGCTCAGAGCCTGGTACGAGTTGTTTGTGAGAGAGAGAAAAAAAAAAAGAAAGAAAGAAATATGGACGAGAAAGACAGGACACCTCTGAAATGTGGGTCAGCGAATGTTTTGGTAGCGAGTGTGCAAGACGATACACGCAGGGCAGCCTCCCTGTTACAACCCAGACACACAACACAGTGACAAGCAGCCAGTTTGTGTGTCTGTTTAACACAACTACTGCCTCCTCTGAACTTAGTTTAGCCTCCATTAGCGCGCTGTGTAGCTAACCCGACGGCTCGCTTCGGTTCACCGGGTCGCACAACAACAAACTGTGAAGTAAACACTGCGACGTTGTTGAGCCCCGTTTTTGTGTCACTGCTGAAGTGTGCGTTGTGTCGCTGCGGCTCCAACTTGTGTCTAACCGGGCTGAATCCACAGCGACCAGCCGGCAGTGAGTGTGTGTGGACGGGGAGGGAGAGCTCTCACCAGAAACGGTTAGCGTTGCTCCGACCGGAGTCCCCAACCTCGGAGCTTCTTCTCAGGCCGGATGCCGTCTTTCCCTCCGAGCGTGGAAGAAGAAGAAGAAGAAGAAAACGAAGAAGAAGAAGAAGAAAATAAGCTTCTTCTTTGTGGTTTCGGTGTGGTCGTTGATACTCCGCAGTGTCGCTTATATCCGCGGGGCTGGAGCGTCCAGCGGCATGGCGCGGCTTCAGGCGTCAAAGTTTGTCTCCTACTAGAAAATAGAAAGCGCCGCGGTGGGTTTTTCGCTCGACGAGACCATGGCAGAGTGAGGAGACGACGGTGATTACTAGTTGATCTAAGCTGAGGGTGTCCTCTGCCTGCTCGCCTGCCACCACACCGCCGAGACGCGGAGGAGTCAGCGGGGAAACGGCGCCACCTAACGGCCGCTGTGGGAAACGCAGAGAGGCGGCCGGTGGTGAGCCCACAGCGACCCCTGCTGGAGGAAATGCTGCAGTCCTGCAAATATACAGTCGTCCTCAAATGTATTCATACCCTCCCATTAAAGAAAAGGCAAAATACACAATAGTCACTCAAGTAACTACAAACTGAAAAAAATAAAAGTAATAATAAATTAAAATTTGCTAAATATAATTGAGTGAAAGAGGACATTGCTTTTGAATTGTGGTTAAAAAGAATAATTAAAAAAAAAAAAAAAGAACTGTCCCGGACAAATTAGAGCACTTTGCTGATGAGCAGTGGGCCAAAATTTAAATACCTGTCAACAGGTGCAGAAGTCTGATGAGATTTACAGAAAACACTTGATTGTAGTGATTGGCTCAAAGGGTTGTTCAACTAAATATTAGTTTACAGGTCCAATCATGCTTGTTTGTTTGTAAATATTTCTGATGAACCACAATTCAAAAGCAATGTCACAATTTTCATTAAATTTGTATTTACTTTTACTTTTGTCAATTTCAACTTATTTTAGTGACAGCTGTTTTTTTCCCTCTTTAACGGGAGGGTAAGAATAAATTTGAGGACAACTGTAACTGAGTATATTTATTTAACTGTTATAGGTGAAGAATCAGTAATTTCTTTTAAATCACTTCTTAAAACCAACTTTTATAGACTCGACTTCAAGTAAAGTTGTCTTTCATTTCTCTTTCATCACTCTCTGACCTTTTATCCATTTAAAAAACAATTACTGCTTGTAGTCCCTCTTTGTAACCTCCTGATCTTAATCTATATTTATCCTTGATTTTCTCTTCAGCTTCTCTCTTTACCCCTTTGTGTGATGTCATCCTTTTAACTCGCTTTTGAACTAGCTATCCATTCCATACATTTTCAGATTTTATGGTGTGTATTTACATGTGTTTGCATGCACTTTTTATTTAGTTTTTATGTGTGTTTGCCCTGTCCTGCCTGACATTGTGCTTGTATTTCATGTACCTGTCAAAGCACTTTGTGAATTGTTGTTCTTAAATGTGCTATACAAATAAAGTTGTTGTTGTTGTTGTTATTATTATTATTATTATTATTATTATT